ACATAAATTTAATTTTATTGATCAACTGAAGTTTATTAATATCAAATTTAATATATAAATCTATTTAAATTGATCATTGGTATTTCTTTGATAATATATTTCATATCTGAACCATTAATATATAAGACTTGATTTTGTCAAACTACTCGACGAGTATATAATCAACATATTTCATATTCCGATGAATTATCCTTTACAAGACATTGCCTACAATATGATCACTACACTTGACATCCATTCAAGATCAAAACGTAAGAATCTTGATAGAACTTGTTTTGTATAGTACTTTATGATGTTCTATTATCTATTTCAAAAAATGATACCTTGGTATTATGCACAATAGCTACATTATGATTAATAGAAATATTTTAAACAAACTGACTTCCAAATTTCACTTTTATTAAGAGAAATTAGATTAAATTAAGAAAAATAAGAAGTAGTAATGTTAGTTAAATAATACTAACATAAGAAAGTCGGTATTTTATATTGATTTATTTTTGAACTTATATAAAACCGTCATCCGGAGAAGATTTATTTAAAGTTAATTGAAAATATTAATTGATTAATTTTCTGGAAGCCACTATATAAATATTTTAATGAAAATTAATTTAATTACATACTATTTAATTTAATCGACTTTCGAAAGCTGAAAGACGATTTAAATAAAATTGATTCAAAATACTTCTCAATTGTGTTATTATATTTAACCAAGAAAACAAAATATTGTTATTAATTGATTTATTTAATACCGACATCAAGAGGCCAGTTTTTATGGTAATTCATTTTTCAGAGAAAATTTTTAATCTCTAGAGGTCGGTATTTGATATTCCTATTTTATCATAAAAATTGACTCGTTGTGGTCGATTTTCTAAAGTTTTTTTTATTCTTTTTTAACAATACTGACCTTCGGAGATCGAAAATTATCGACTTCTATTTGAGGTCGATAATTTTAGGTGGGTATTCACTGTTTTATAGTAGTGGTGATAACGATGATTCGCCGAACATGAAAGGCTGACTCAATCGAGTTCGATAACTGGATTTTAAACAACTAAAGCATGTAGCCAAGAAAAGGCGAGCTGAAGAATAGGACGGTGATATGCCGATCATGCTAGAGGAGCTCGACTAAGTCATCGATCCAGTCGCGCATGAAATTTTGGACCAATTTTTGGAAAAATTATAAATAACCCAAAGGATAGAGAAAATGTATCTTTTATGCATTCTAGCTTTTTTAAATTGAGAAATAAACCCTTTCTATTTTTCTCTTAGTTTTTGGGTTTTGGACAAACTTGTAATTGACAATTGAGGGTTCAATTCAAAGTGGTTGTTGAAGATTATTGATGATTATCAACACTTCAATGGCTAAAAACATAGTTGGTATAATTTCTTTTCCATTATGATGTTTGGCTAAAACTCAATTCTAGGGGTGTGATTATGGAGTTATGTAGAATTCTCACAGATATGTGAAGAATCAAGGATTGTATTGATAATTGAATGATTGAGTTACATATTCCTTATATAGGAGAAGAGTTCTTTACTATCTACACTAAGAATCCTAATACAACGCAAATATATTATGTACACCTTATCCTAGTCAACTATACCAATTTAAGTCGTACAAAGTATAGACTTGTACATAAATTAGGATTGAGTAGTCTAGTACTAGTGTTACTCAAGCTCTAACTTTTCAGACAACTTCACCAAAATTGTTCCTTTGTCCTGTTCCATCAGCATCCTTCAACATTTCCCCTCAAGCTAGTGAGTGGAGGAACTGTAACTCCTAGCTTGCGATGAAACTCAACAAAAACATGTTTGGTTAATACTTTTGTGTGAATATTTTGCTAACTGATCCTTAGACCTCACAAATTGAGTAACAAGTTGTCCTCTAACAACCTTCTCATGAACCAAATGATAGTCCATTTCAACATGTTTAGTTCTAGCATGCATAACTGGATTAACTGTCATGTACAAAGCACTCATGTTGTCACAATATAATGTAGGTACTGATCGAATAAACACCCCAAGATCATGAAGTAGATACATGATCTATGTCAAATCTGATGCAGTGGAGGCAAGTGCTCTATACTCAGCTTCAGCACTTGAACGAGCAACTGTGGATTATTTCTTGGAGGTCGAAGAAATACAGTTTGCACCTAGGTAGATGTTATAACTTGTAGTTGATCTCCTAGTAGTGGTACAACCTCCCCAGTCAGCATCGGAGTACCCATACAACCTACATGGTGATTGTGAAATAAGTCTAAGTTCAAAGTGCAGAGTGCCTTTGATGTATACCTGAGAATTCTTTTCACTCCTTGACTGTTCGGGTTTTGAATAAATTGGCTTGCTAAATTCACAACATGAGTAATATATGGTCTTGTGAGAGTCAAGTATTGAAGACTCCCTACAATCATTCTGTAAAAGGTTGTTTCAACCAGGCCTCCCATAGCTTTATGTAGACCATGCTTTTGAGCCAACGAAGTGGCTATAGCCTTTGCAAAAGTCATTTAGTCTTGTCTAGCAGCTTAGCAACATACTTACTCTAGCTTAAATGGATGCCCCCCCCCATCAAAATACTTAACCTCAACTCCAAGAAAGAATTGTAAATTGCCAAGATCTTTCATGGTGAACTCCTTCCCAAGTTGTAGAACCAATACTGAGACATGAGATGAATTACTTCCTATGATAATAATATCATCCACATATAACAAGAGAAATATTTTGCCTTTGTGAGTCTTCAAAATAAATAAGAAAGGGTCAACCTTAATACAAATGAAACCAAGGTGTAAGAGATGCATGCTAAACCTATCAAACCAGGCTCTAGGTGCTTGTTTAAGACCATACAATTCCTTTTTAACTTGACATACATGCTGAGTATACTAGGGATCAATAAAACCAGGAGGTTGACTCATGTACACCTCCTCTTGTAAGACACCATGGAGAAAGACATTTTTGACATCGAGTTGTCTAACTTCCCACTTTGAACTGACAGCAATGGATAGAACCACCCTATTAGTTATTGCTTTAACCACAGGACTAAATGTTTCTTCAAAATCTATCCCTTAAAGCTGCGAGAATCCCCTTACCACAAGTCTGGCCTTGTATCTATCTACTATTCCATCAAATTTTAATTTTGTCTTGAACACCCATTTTTATTCAACCAAGTTCATACCAGGAGATTTTGGCACTAAAATCCATGTCTTGTTAGTATGTAAAACATCAATTTCTTCCTGCATTGCTGCAAGCCAACGAGGTAATTTTAGTGCTTCTTTAGTAGTATTTGGTTTAACTAAAGTGGTTGTCTGATGATGATCATTGGCTGGACTTGTAAGAGCAACTTGTTCCTCACTGCTGCAGGCAGATTCAAAATCTGCAGCTGGACTTTCAATACTACTATATGGATCATCAACCTCAACCTGTTCCTCAGCATCTGATCTTGCGCCTGAGATGTCAATAATACTCTCATCATCAATGAGTACATGAGGTGTAGCAGCATTATCACTAGTAATGTGTGGGCTAGCAACCTGTACTTCCCCTGAATCATAATAATCATGTGCCTGCAATTTAGAGAAAGATTCAACAAAAGTAGCAAGATGAGATGAGACATTAATGTTAGTCTGAGATTGCTTGGGAGACACATAGGATAATGCATTTTCATCAAACACAACATGTCTCGATATGAAACCCTCATTGTAGAGGGATGATAACATCTATATCCTTTGTATAAGTTGTTGTACCCAATGAACACACAAGATAGGTCTTTTGACTAGCCTTATTGTTACCATTGATATACCCGAACACTTCTAGGCTATTGTAATAAGGTTGTTCCTCATACAATTTAACAAATGGAGTCACCATTTTAGGACTGATGAACGCAATCTATTGATGAGAAATATTGCAGTGAGGAAAGCTTCAACCCATAAAAACAAAGGTAGATTAGCATGAAGTAGTAGAGTTAAGACAGTCAACACAATATGCCTATGTTTTCTCTGTGCAACTCCATTTTGTTCAGGTGTGTTAGGACATGAAATACATCTCACAATGCCATGTTCTTCCAAATGCTTAATGAAGTCAGTTTGGATAAACTCACCACCTCCATCACATTGAAAAATCTTAATCTCTTTAGAAAATTGTTTTCCCACCATATTCTGAAATTTAAAAAGGTCTCAAAGAATTCAGACTTCTTTTTCAGTGAATAAATGCATGTATATCTTGTGTGATCATCAACAAAAACAACATAATAATTCATATGTTGGGAAGATTCCATAGGAGCATCAATTTTATTTCTCAA